TACTTGTTCAAGTTTGAAACATTTTAACAGTGTACATGAATGACTTAATCAGATATCATATTCAAGAATTTCACATTAAGAATGGATCATAAAGTCGAATTTTAATATTCTATGTACCTAAATTCAATCATACCGCACTGTCATTCATATTCTTATTTAGATAATAATTAATGACTGGTTTCAAGAGATATTTCCTGGAGTTCTGGTGAGAAGCAGTGAGCAGTGGAGTTCAACCGGGTCTGTTGTGAGATAGTAACTCACTGAAGGCATTGGTGGATGTGTCACTGCATTTCGTGGATTGACTGAAGTTAGATATCGCGCGCGAGACTGTTTGGTCCTGAGTTCGAATTTCGCGAGGCGAGGTTGTGGATGGGCACTGCTGAGGGGTCCCACAATAGGACGAAACGGACGTCCAGTGCATCTAGATTTTCCATGGTGGTCTAGTTTCAATTGACTCATGATCTCAACTATTGAAATCTTTATTCTAGAACTAAAAATTCATATTCATTCTTTATATATTCATAAGAAATTTTAATATTCGCACAAATTGAATATGAAACTTACTTCTTCTAAACAACCTTTGTTATTTGTTAGTGAGTTTGTAGAAAACATTTCCTCGTTAAATGAATCCATGTATTATGATGAGTAAGTTGAATCTATTCAACATTGAATCAATTGGATCAGGTCAAAGATATCTATCTGTAGATAATGGATACTATTTTAATAGTAGTATAAAACGTCTGTCTTCTTTTATTCCCTTTTCAGTGATATAAGTAAATTTCATCACAATAATGAAGATAAATTGATTAGATCATGTATGTCATTTTTAAAAAGAAAATTTGATCGATCTATTAGCATCAATTATGGTACAAAAATATCAGGTATTTATAGTTTCTAGTAAAAACGAAATCATCATTATAGCCCTTAAATGTGCATACAGGTGGTTATTAGCATTTGTCCAATAGGGAAACTGCACATAGGGATTCTGGAATATTCTTCCAAAAGATGATTGAATGGAATATCTTCAGCTCTTTCTAAGCTTCTTATAGCTTCCTCGAGTTCACCCATGGGTCGTCCTCACAACTTCAAACAGCAATTTTTATCTGACACTTTTTAACCAATTAAACTTCAATGTTTATTTTATCAATTGTTTTTCAACAGAATTCACTTCATCATTATGATTTCTGGACATTGAATAATAGTTTACATTCGCCAAGGCGAACAATTGAAGTAGACCAACTAGCAAATTGGTTAATTGAGATGAAATCAATGATTTTAAAATAATCACCTATTTTCCCAAAGTCAGTATGTACATTATCATATTCCTTTTCGTCCAACTCTTCATCATCATCATGTTGTTCTTCTTGTTCTTCTTCATCATCTTCAGAATTTATTGGACCTAATGAAGAACAGTTGAATGGTAAAGGTAATAAGAGATCAAAATGTTGTTTACATGACCTTAGATATAAACATAAACTTCAAAATCAACAAAAAATGATCACTTTATCAAAGTTGAAAATGAATCCTAAACATTTCGTTGTTATTGATTGTCCCTTTGCACACGAATAGAATGCTGTACATATTTATATTGCTATTTATTTATCAGATTGGCCAAAACTTTATTAATATTTTTTTGGTATAATACAACATTCTATTGAATCTACTGAAATGGATTTAAGTAACTCATTATATTCAACGGAACAACTGATTAAACCAAAACCATCTCATACTATATTTATATTATATTGTGAATTTTCTACAAAACGTGCATCACAATTATTTTGTCGTTTACGTAATCATGACAGACTATTACATTTCACTTCATATCCTGCATTAAAATATCTATTTGTTTATATATTACATGGTGGTTATTCAACTTTTTATAAAAAGTACCCATATTTATGTGAACCAGATCTTTTAAGTATTTGGCATAAACATTGTAAACTGGTTAATAAACAATCGATGAATTCTCATTCACAAGTATATCCTGATAAAAATCATAATGAAATGTTAAACACACACACGCACATCAATCAATAAACGAATCGACTCATTAAAGTACCATTCAAAATTATTTCCAATCACTTTCACAAGACGAAAAAATAGAATAAAAAGATTTATTTCATTGAACCAAAACTTATTAACTTATTTATGTCCGTTACTCCTTATGGAAGAGTATAAGTCACCCAGCAACATTCTCAATCCAACCTTGTCTTGATGAATCCTTTCCAGTTCTTTTCAATTGTTATTCTTTTTTTTTCATGTCTGTTTCCAAGTTCCGACATAGTGTATTCTTCGACCGTCTTCTTCTTCTTCTTGTATGTTTCCCTTCACGATTCCATGTTATCGCTTGTCTCATGATGTAGTTCGATTCCAGTTCAATACTATTTACTTGTTACTTATTTATTTCACAATTATTTTCATCTCATTTCTTCTATTCATAATGATTAATATACGTAATATCGATTCAATTCATTTTGATCGAAAAGTTTTCTCTCAAACGGAATTCATTAACATTGCAACCTATTCAACATTGAATATGTTTCTTTTAATTCAATCATTATTAATGTCTTTGTTTAAATATATTTTTCTTTTATTTTCATTGGTTGATTCACTAGAATTAAAAGAGAATAGCTTGACAAATACAACTAAAAAATGAGTTTATATATATAGAGAGAGAAACCTAAGGCCCTGGGTTCTAATCCCGCGAGCGGGATCGTGGATGCATACTGTTAAGGAGTCCCATAATATAATGAAACGGACAGCCAGTGCTTCTAGGTTTTCAACAGCGGTCTAACATCATTCGGTTCATGATCTCAATCATTAAACGTGTAATAATGTATTCAACTATTTATTCATCTGACAGTAGACTGTAATAAAAGAATAATGAAATCATTAAAAATGATTGATATTCAGAAGAGTTACAATAAACTGAATAGCTCAAATATTGATTTATTTAGCCTAAATAAAGCAATTTGTTGGTAGCAGGGAAATCCAGGAAGTGCGTTTTTCCTGATCTAGCACTTATCATTTCGGTGTACTTTCATTCAAGTTGATCTTCTCTCCGAAGCTCAAACCCAGTACTGTTCTCTTCAAATGCCATTCCGTTATCCACTTAACTACTAAGTACAGATAGCTACTGCCTTTTGGAGTGGAGTTAATTTTAATTTATACATATTGCTTGTTTGGATCTTTTCATTAATAGTTTACTAATGCAATTTCGAGATGGTGGAAAAGATTTGTAGCTCAAGTGGACAATTTTGATGGAGTTTCGTCCTCTGAACTGGATGGTCTAGTCGTGGAGCATTCATCGTTCTTCTGAACGACATTGTCAGCACAAACTTCAGGTAGACTTCTTCAGGTGACTTCTACCTGAAGATTTGTGCTGATGATGTCGTTCAGAAGAACGATGAAAGATCCACGACCAAACCATCCAGTTCAGAGAACAAAACTTCATCAAAAACTAATGCAAATGTTAAGTCTCTTCTGATATACATACATCCTATATGGATTGCCTAGATATTGTCATTAATTTTCAAGCATTTTAAGCAAAGATGAATAGTGGCTAGCAATGGAATCTAGGATGCATGTTTTACCCTACTCGGATTTCATAAGGTGAACTTACCTGTTCAACTACAGTCATAAAACGTAAACAGGAAGATGCAAACAACTAATATTTATAATTATAATCATAGAGAGGATTTCTGGAGATTTTACTACGACCGTATGTGGTACTAGGTTTCCACTGTACAAATCGCAACACTATTTCTTTTCATCATAGAGATAACCATAGACCTATGTGATCCGATGGAAATAGTGAAGAAAAAGACAACAGCAATAGAGATCTTAATTCCCAACAGTAATCCGTCAAAACTGTCGTAATACACAGAATTTTTTGGTTTAGCTTGTGAATTAAGGCAATATCGAGGCATACGCACAGTATGCACATATGCCAATAAGAGACTGATCAATTGTGGACTTAAACCTCAATGGGAAGGTACAAGTCAAACTATACCAAGTGAAGTATATGACAATTGTTTTCATGTTTTGACCAGAAAAATTGTACTTTCATTCTAGCTAATATCAAAACATTTGTGGTTTAAAGTTATCGTTCACACCTAGACCCCTTATCAATGAGCAATTCTCTACACTCTTCCATTTTGAACGCAAACTATTCTCTTGATTATTATTATTATCGCTATTATTATCAGTTATTATCATACCCTTGAAATTTATCATTTGAGGTAGAGAATAATAATCATAATCGTTTTAACGACAGTTATTGTAATTCTTTTTAAAAAAATAATTTTTGATTGAGATCGTGAACTGATTGATGTGAGACCATCACTGAAAATCCGAAAGCACTGGATGACCGTTTCGTTCTGTTGTGAGACTCCTCAGAACTGCGTATCCAAGATCCAGCTCACGGGATTCAAATCTAGGGTCTCGCGCACCAATGCTTAAACTTCAAACCAGTGAGCAGGCATCCATCGGTGTTAATGTCTAACTTCGATCAACCCATGAAATTTTGCGACCATCTTCCATTGTACTGAGGTAGATACCTGTCTCTACCCCACAAGGATTAGCTCCACTGATCACAGCTTCTCACTGGAGCTCCGAGAACTCCCTACCGAAGCTAGTCACTAGTTACTAGTCACAATGTGAGATGGTCGCGCAACTTCGCGGATTGGTTAAGGTTAGACATTAACACTGTTGGATGCCGACTCAATGGTCTAGTAGTTAAGTGCTTTAGTGCAAGGCTGAAGGCCTTGGGTTCGAATTCCATGAGGTGGGATCATGGATGCACACTGGTGAGGAGTCCCACAATAGGACGAAACTGCCGTCTTGTGCTTTCAGGTATTCAATGGTGATCTAACATCATTCGGTTCATGATTTCAATTTAAACAAAAACATAATTAATCTCCACAACCTCATAATGAAAAATTATTTTATTTTATTTTACTTTTTGTCATTGTTTTTTTTGAATTATTATTATTTAGCTACACTCATTTAACATCAAAACCATTTTCATGTTCAATATGTCATCGAGGCTTTTGTCAATCACGTTCATTAGAAAATCATAAACGTTCAAACCATCCAATTAAAAAAGATGAAACCGGTACAAAATTCAATGATAATCATTCGACTAGATTGATTTATACAACAGCTAATATTATTCCTATAAATGACATGAATACTACTACTACTACTACTACTAATAATAATAATAATAATAATAATAATAGTAGTAGTAGTAGTAGTAGTAGTAGTACTAGTACTAGTATGAATACCTGTACTACAAATTGTGACGTGATCAACATAATAAGAAATAATAAGGCGGTATAAATACAATTTAAATAATGTATTCAACAATTGTTTTCATGGTTAATATTTTGGTTTGTTTTGTTTTAATGAATGAACAAAATGAAAAGAAAAATATTTTATTCACTTTCTAATGAATGATTCATGTGTTATTTAATTCATTTTCATTTTGATTTATTTTTCATTTCGTTTAAAGAAATAAATATATTTTATAAAAAGAAAAAGAAAATTAATTTTGGTTACTAAGCAAAGATGGATAGTGACTAATAGTGGAATTCAGGACGTGTGTTTCGTCTTAATTTGATACTCATCACTTGGTGTGAATAACAAATCTGAGATGTGGGCACACCCAGCTGATGAGTTTCAAGTAGGATGAAATGCGTGTTCTGGATTCTATTGTTATCCACCCTCTGTCTTTGTTTATAATGCTTGTGACTTAAGACAACATTGGGGCAATACACACAGAATGCATATATGCCAATAAGAGATTGATCAATTACAGTCCTAAACATCGATGGGAAGATTGAAGTAAACGTTGCCAAGTGAATTTAATATTAGTTAAATTTAATTTATCCTGGTACATCCAACTGATGAGTCTCAAATAGAAGGAAACGCGCGTCCTGGATTCCACTGATAACCATCATGCACCTTTGCTTATAATATTTGTTAATAAAGGCATTATCAAAGCAATCCGTACAGGATGTACCCATTCCAATAAGAGACTGATCAATTTCAGTCCTAAACATCAATAGGACGATTCAAGTAAACAATACCAAGTGAATTTAAACAATTTCTTTTCTTCTGCAATACTATTTGGATATTTTACATAGAATAACAACTACAAAGTAATCTATATGTATTGAACTTGTAGAGTTATCCAGGCAAGTAAACTGAATACAACAGTAAGCATTGACTACACCATATTTTAATATTATTAAGAAGAAATACAAATATTTTCAGATAAACTGTGTAAGAACAAAACACTTGAAGTGACTAGTCATTGAATGTGAATTATTTAAATGATCAGTAATTAATTCATTTGCACCACTGAGTCTTTATATCTGTAAACTATAACTTCATTGATTGAAACGCAGTTTCATCATTACTAATGATCAGTGCTTTAATGACTAAATCACTGTAATTAATACAATGTATTTCTTTACTAATGATATCTGACAATCGTAAAGTATCAGGGTGGAGTGTTGTATGGTATATTTACTGTTTATTTAGTCGATCAATGTGTCTTACTGGGTCTCAAGTTGGCAAAAAATAAGCACGGTTTTGGCCTCATTACAGTAATGTTATTGCAACTTGCCAGTATAGGGTTGCTGAGTAACTTAAATTAACAAAGTAGTCTGTAGGCGCAATCTCCTCACTTCTTACAGTTAATGGAAGTGATGTTGTAGATCTCTTGAAGAATTATATATATTGCATATATGAAACAGATACCAACCATTTTCGGATGCTAGGTGTTAAATTTACATTCTTTTCTTTCATAGTAACCCACTGAGGCTAACAATAGAAGCAAATATGAGCAGTATATTTATGAATTTTTGAGTCTACGCATAAATATAACCTAACCAGTTGATAAATTAGTTGACAAAACTAATCCTCACTGCTTTAAAGGCCATAGGTTCTTACTCAAACTTCGAGTGAATGTATCCTCACCAAATCAATTGATTCATAAAACATATTTACTAATTCTGTATTTTAATAGTTAAATTCATGAGTCGATTAAAGCTAGACCACCATGGAAAATCTGAAAGAATTGGATGGCCGTTGCATCTCAGCATGAAACTGTAGTGTTAGTCATTAGTTTTAGCCCATAATATATCTTATTCTAGTTTTCGGACATTCCATTCTATTCATTCTACTTGAGTCATAGGTTGACCTTGTCAATTATTCGCTTGTCAGTCTTGATTGTTTTTATGTGAGCCTATATGTGTGTACACATCATATCACATGACTCATTGCATGTCTGTAGCTTAATTTTGTCTGACTATAAATATTGAGTAACGCTAGACTAAAAATGAGTTGGATTACCGGCCATCTCCACTCTACGTCGCTTCTCTTCCTCCTATTCCATTCACCTCATATACAAAATATATGTATTCAAAATCCCTTTCACGTTATTTGACTTATTTAATTCCGTTATTGGCTAACGTGATTTAAGTCGAGGATTATATACGAGAATTGGCGATAACAAACATTCGTACGATCTAAGTAGTAGTCAGATACACGGGCCTCCCAAAAAAACTCCTCAGCAGTGCACATCCACGATCTCGCCTGCAGGACTCGAACCCAGGAACTTTGATCTACGCGCGCGAATGCTAAACCTGTAGATCACTGGACCAGTACCCAACGGCGAACCGTCGTGCTATTTCTTGGATTGGTTGAAGTAAGACATTAACACCGTTGGATGCCGGTTTAGTGGTCTAGAGGTTAAGCGTTTGCACGCGAGACCGAAAGTCCCGAGTTCGAGTCCAGCGAGAGAGATCATGGATGTTCACTGTTGGGCAGTTCAATAATGAGACGAAACGGCCGTCCAGTAGTTCCAGGTTTTTCATGGTAGTCTAGCTTCAACTGACTCATGATTTCAACCAGTGACATTCTGTATTTGTTATAATCACTTACTTAAAAAAACACTTATTTTTATATATACTGATGATGACTACTGCGTGCAAACAATCTGGGCCATCTCAATCAACAGTCTTCAAGTAATCTATTTGATTAGATTATTAGGTCTAGCAATTAAACAGATTTCATATTTACGATAGTTAACAAGTATTGTATCCAACCATCAATACCTTCTAATTTATGATATTAAAATAAATCATTTGAAATGAACCAGATTATTCTAAATGAAACATATGAGATTAATAACCTAGTCATTTTGTATATACCCATAATCAGATTCAAAATACACATTCGTATACATATCTAGTTTATAAGGGTTAGTTATCAGTATATCATTGAACTATTGGTATGATTCCCTTTAATTTGTTTATAGGATAAAGCTGGAATTATATATATATATATATGTGCACTGTTGTAATGTCATATTTTTCAATGTTATTTTATGTAAATTAAGTCATTTCGGTTGAATTTATGTAGACTGCGTAATGCTTGTAAAACTCATCAGTATACATATATGAAATCATGAATCTAGAAAAGAGTGAATTACAACTTGATGGATCCAATGGAAACTAACATGTATTAGTATACTGTTTTAATTTATACCAATGTTTGTCAATATATAGAGGAATATCACAAAAGGTTTTTCGTGGATATTATAGTAATTTCAATGGTTGAGATGATGAGTCAATTGAAGCTAGACCGTCATGGAAAACCTGGAAGCACTGAATGGCTATTTCATCCTATTGTGGGACTCCTCAGCAGTGAGCGTCCACGACCCAGCCTCGCGGGATTCAAACCCAGTACCTATCAGTATCGCACCAGGAGCTTAACTGACTAGACCACTGGTCCGACATCCGACAGTGTTAATGTCTAACTCCAACTAATCCACGAAATTGAGCAACACATCCACCATTGTCATCAGTGAGTTACTATCCCACAACAGACCCGGTTGAGCTCTCTGGTCACAATACATAGTGTTTAACAATCAAATCAAATATATACTCAGTGCTTATTCAATCAGATTCAAGTGTTGACTCTAGTAAATAGGATAACATGAATCAGTTAGATATGAATTATATGATAAGTTCACAATGTGAGGATAAATGAACGAATGAATGATTGTGAGCGTGTGTGTGTGTGTGTAAGTTTAAGTTATTAATAGATGATATTATGTGTTAATTTGTTTTTATTAAAAATAAAAATCAAAGTGTGAATTGAAAATGAGAACAATTAAAATTCATAATTCATAGAATGGCGTTTTAAGGGGATTGTAGTAATGTACTAGTTGAATTCATAAATCGATTTAAGCTGGACCAGCAGTGAAAACCTGGAAGCATTGGACAGTTGGTTTATTCTAGTATGGGACTCCTTAACAGTGCTCATTCACGACCCCTCACATGTTCAATGCTTCTATGGTGGTCTAGCTTAAATCGACTACTCATCAATTCAATTATTAAAATACATAACTTCAATAATAAACTATTCAAATGAATTTCTGTCAGAATAACAATACATATGAAATAAACAGGGTTGGATAGAGATAGCGTCCAATTACTTGTTAATGAACATTTTCCACGTGGTAGCTAGTTGAATGCCACGATTTTAATTCAGACTGTTCTTATCAGCCCACATATATAAAGCGTTTCTGTGGTTAATCTTTCTTCATGTGTGCTAGAACCTTTCTCAAGCATTTTGTTCCCTTCGAAATTAATCTTGTGCCCTGTTTCACCAGTGAGTTATGAATAAACTAGTTACTCACTAGTGGGATTAAATGATGGACACACCATATTACGAAATAAGAATTTACTTCATATATATATATATATATATATATAAATAATCTTAGAAAACACCAGTTAATAGTTGCAGCATCAAATGGATTATTACATAAAGCATAAGATTTATTTCAAATCGAAACCACTTTATTGTCTACCTCAAATATGGTTCGTTAAACACAATGAAACGAGCGCATAGTGTTGTTTCGCGATTTTATATTTTAGATCATCACTTCCTACAATTAGGTAATGTAACACAGTTTACTTCTAATTTACATACTATGGATGGGCTTATACAAATCTCTAATGGTTTTTGCATCAAACATGAAGTTTACTTATTATCTAGTTTATACTATCCCAAAATATTGATGAACTTAAATAGATTCATTTGTTATTAGGTGGAGATTGATCATCAAATGAGAGTCCAAAAAAATATTGAATGAACATTACAAATCCTCCACGAAAACTAACGAGCATAAGTAGGTAAGCAGGTAAGCAAGTAAGTAAGTAAGTAAGTAAGTAAGCAAGTAATTAATTGATAAAGACTATACTTTTTAGATTTCATCTCGACTATGTGATCCTTGATAAAATGGTCTGATAATATACGTTCCA